GAGAGAGAGAGAGAGAGAGAGAGAGAGAGAGAGAGAGAGAAGTAAAAACTTCCTTAAAGTAAACATATATGGTCTAAAAACTATTCAATATGTGAAGATGCAGAAAGCAGCTATATAGCACTGAAATGTATGGCTGGGCAAAGCAAAACCTATAAGAGTATTTTTCACTTTTCTTGTTTCATAGTTAAGAAGGAATATTTTTAAATGTATCACTGTATTTTTAAAGTTTACTACAAATAAAATAAAGTGAAGACTTTTTGAATTGCTAACAAGAGCATAAGTGGTCTTATTGGAATAATGTATTTCAATAGGCTACACAAGTCTGTGTAGCTAACCACCTTTAAACTGGTGGCCTTTACAGGTCTAAGAACACTGCAGCTTCTTTTCCACAGTAAGATGAATTATGGGAAATGTAGAAAGTATTCAGGCCACCTTTTCTGATAGTTATATTTTTCTTTTTCATTTGTCTCCAACCAACCTGATAGGTGACATCTGGAAGTCCACCTTTTTGCTTTCTCCACATCTTCTTCTGAGAAGGAGTGAACAGGCAGGGAGGGGAGTGAAGGATCCAGGGAATCTCTGTGGACAAGGCTGCAGCTCTGTATTGTCGATTGCATTGCTTTCCCCCCTTATTTTTAAGTCCTTCTTCTGATGCTCTCACAGTGAACAAATGCTACTTTGGTGGGATCATTTCCTGGTTAAGCCATCTAAGGAACCTGATATAGATATATATGATATAGATATGATAGGATAAAAGGGTAGATTAATGAACCTACTTTTAAAGAGCAGCTTCTTTAAAATGTTTTACATTGGTATAGATTTTAGTTTACTGATACAAACTTAAAGTTAATTTTGTTATACTGTGTGTATATTTCTACTCTTGTTTAAGGTGTTATGTTTGTACAGCTCATTTAAAATTGTAATGGCTAATTAAAAATAGATTAATAATTAGTCATCTATGATAATCATATCGTAGCCATGTTAGTTAAGTCTTCTAGGTATACATAGACATATTTCAGATAGATAGATAATCTTCAAATACTTCAAAGACCTACAAAATATGGCATTTAAAATATTTTAAAAATTTAGACTTTCTGGATGGTGAGACATGTCTGCTCCTGGCAGCACCGATTTACTTCAGAGAGGAGAATGGGCATCGAAGACACTCCATATGGAGTTTATCTTCACCTTGACAAAAATAGCCATTTGGGCAAGAAACTGTTCTTGCCTGGACTGCTTGATCGACTGGACATACAGGACCCATAGAAAGGTGACTACTGAACTTTGCTTGACAAAAAGGTCCTTCAGGTTCCTGCTTCACAGAGGAAACTGCCAGACATTCTACAGGACACTGAAAAAAGTAACCAAGAGACTCTAGCCCTGTGGGCTAAAGACAGATGCCCCAACTTGACAAAGGAACATTAGGTGACTGTCCAGGCTGCCAGCTGTCTCTGTCTACCCTACAAGACTCCCGAAAATTGCTTACATCCTTCTCCCATTTCTCAGGTAATAGTATATCCTTCTGAGGTCTTTGATGTAGTTAAAGCTAGATAGTTACAATTTTTCCTTAGTTATATAAGAGATAAGTTAGATATGAAACCTTAGACTCACAAATATAAGATAGATAGGATATCTTCTTTAATTTTGCCAAATATAAATAGACAAGTTATTGTAGACTAGATATTATAACTGTAATTCTTGCTTAATAATTGTTTTGTTATCTGTAATTTTACTATGTGAAAGTTAAAACCTTCCTTTAAAAAGAAAAGGGGAAGTGCTGTGGATATCATTCTGTATAAATAAAACACTGATTGGCCATTGGCCAGGCAGGAAGTATAGGTGGGACAAGGAAAGAGGAGAATTCTGGGAAGTGGAAGGCTGAGTCAAGGAGACACTGCCAGCTGCCACCATGACAAGCAACATTTAAAGATGCCGGTAAGCCATGAGCCACGTGGCAAGGTATAGATTTATAAAAATGGGTTAATTTAAGATATAAGAACAGTTAACAAAAAGCCTGAGCCATTAGGCCAAACAGTTTAAATAATATAAACGTCTGTGTGTTTATTTTATAAGTGGGCTGTTGGACTGCCAGGGCTTGGCAGGTCCCTGAGAGAAAACTCTCCAGCTACAGGAACCCCTTTTTATATTTAATTTATTTGTTGGTGGAGTCAGGAAGACTTTTATTTTTTGCAGATTGTACCATGCATCACCATGAAGACATCTGGATTCTATGTATGTAGTTAGTGCTCTCTTAGGCTTCTGCAGATAATATTCTTTTACTCTTAAATATTAAAAGACATTTTCCAATCAGAAAAAGATGTAAAAAAAAAACCTCACAATTAGCTACACATAAAACAAGAGAAGAGATAACCCAGAAGGGGCATTGAACATGCATTTGAATGCATGCTAGTGAACATATTCATAAACATGACTAAATTCATATTATTGAATACTGATATTGAAAAATATCACAAAATATGTCTATACATGAGATGCACCTAAGCAAAGTGATAAACTCCTGAATTAAAAAAAGCAATAATATACTGATGAATACAAAGTAGGAGGCATGTGGGAAGTTTGATGATAGCAGAGATAATTTTAGAAGCTGAGACAATTAAATCCAATGAACCGAGCACAGACCTTTTAGTGACTGTAGTCTAGGAAATGCCAATACAAAATGGTAGGTTCTTGAATTAAATTATGACATTAGCAAACTTTTCTGTGAAACAATACAGATTTAAAATAGTGTAACAGAGTGTTGGTGGTTATCTAGTGGAT